CAAAAAAAAAAAAAAAAAAAAAAAAAAGGAACCAACTAAAAAAGGGGAGCCTAAGTCTGAAAAGGCATTCCAGATATTTTTCAAGCATATGTAAGCATGGACAATTGATTCTGATGCTAATTTAGTCAAAGTGTATGTGTGTGTCTATGTGTGTAGAAGGGTGCCCATCTGTAATCCCAGCACTCTGGGAAGCTGGTGCAAGAGGATTACAAATTCAAACCAAGCCTGGGCTAAAACTTAGGATGACCCTGTCTCAAAATTAGGAAGAAAGGTTAAGAATGCAGCTCAGTGCAAAGTCCCTGAGTTCAAATACCAAATACTGGAACAAAACAAAACCAAGAAAACAAAAAAGAAACTAATTTTCTTTCGGCCTTTTTCCCTTTTTTGGTACCAGGGATCGAATTAGGGACAGGACCTCCTGCTTAGTAGGCAGGCACTATGGGGCTCAGCTGCATCCTCAGCCATTTCTTTTGGCTTTTCATGACAGTGTCCAACGGTGTAATTAAGGCTGGCACTAAACTTATGAAATTAAGTCACACCAAGACAGGTGTGGGGGTGCATGCCTGTAATCCCAGCAGCAGGGAGGCTGAGGCAGGAGAACTCTCATGAGTTTGAGGCCGGCCTGAACTATACAGTGAGTTCAAGGATGACTTGAACTACATAGTTCTGGAAAAAAGTAAAGTAAAAAATAAAAAAATAAGTTACCCACACCAGGCTTGAATATGTGATCCTCCTGATTCAGTCTCCCAAATTGCTGGGATTATAGACATGTATCACCATACAGGCTATTTTAAAAAATCAATTATAGTTTAACAAAAACAACAACAACAACAAAAAACAATAAGATCAACTATATTCTTTTTTTTTTTTTTTTTTTTTTTTTTTTTTTGGTACCGGGGATTGAACTTGGGTCCTTGCGCTTGCAAGGCAGGCCACCAAACTGCTGAGCTAAATCCCCAGCCCTACTATATTCTAATTTTTACCTTGATGATATTTCAAAGTATAAATCTTTTAAATTATGATACTTATTTAATGTATGTATATATTTGATAATATCAATTTTTGAGTAGAAAAAAATTTTAAGTCTGTATATTTATATAGTAAAACAATTTTCCTTCTTTTTTGAGACAGGGTCTGGCTATATAGTTCAGCTGGCCTTGAACTCACTATGTAGCCCAGGCTGGCCTCGAACTTGCAGTGACCCTCCTGCCCAGCCTCCTAAGTGCTGGGATTATAGGCATGCGCCACCACTCCTGGCCTGTCCTTCTATCCCACTAATGATACATCTTTATTATGAACTTGTCCATGAATGCTAGAAGGCATTTAAAAGCAGTGAGGAGGGAAAAAACCAAAATCAAAATAACCATAAAACTCCATTTCTGGCAAATCTGAAATTAATGTAATTCCCAGACTCCAATTTATGGTAAGAGCCTCCCTGATCAGTTTTCAAAAGCTGACTTTAGCTGAGTGTGGTGGCACACACTTATAATCCCAACACTCTGCGAGGCTGAGGCAGGAGGACTGTGCATTTGACCCTGGCCTGGGCGAGTGAACAATTTAATGGCTTAGTAGCTCAGTAAATAATAATAAAAATAAAGGGCTGGGGATGCAGCTGAGTATGAAAGTTCTTAGGTTCAATACTTCACAATTCCGCATATCATTTAGCCCTTTACTGATATCTGATGTCTTACCAGGAGGAGTGAAACTCAGGTACTTCTGCTTCACCGTGTTGGAGTCATAGAACTTGAGGACGTCCAGCACAGCCTGTGGGTTCTTCTTTTGCTCTAGTTTGGTGATGTTGGAGGTCTGCAGTAAGCGAGCCCACTGCTCTGGCATGCCCTGACAAGAGAAAGCCAGACAGCAGTCATGGTTTGAATTGCTGTCATTTTCAGAGATACATAACAAAATATATAAAAGAAACCAATAAACATCATTTAAGGTTTACTAAATTCTAACAGGTCTAGTTTTCTAAAATATTTTTCTACATCTATTTTGGGTACTTGTAATTACAGGCTCAGCTCTCTAGGAAAAAGATACATCCAGTCACTAAAACTTTTATGAAAAGCAAAAAGCAGTAAACTGACAAGATATGGACAGAAAGCATCACACTTAATACTAAAGGATATGTGTTAGTAGTGTTTTAATGCCATAAATAAACCCCAACCAACAAAACTTACAGTAAATTCTCCAGTAACAGCATCAAACCCAACATGGATGGTGTGCTCAAAATCAGATGGAGGAGAAATCTCTGGCCGTTCTTTTTCCTTCTTTCTACTCCCTAGAGGACATGAACAAAAAGAATGAAGAATATTTGAACAAGGTTAATATAGGTACTTCAAATCTTAATGTCTGTATTTTTCCTCAGAGTAGAAATAGTTATTGTAGAAAACAGACTTCCTGTAAATACAGACTAAAAAAAACCTGGTAAATGAAGGAAAACAGGGGATCCTGCCATAAACAGAGGGATGCAGTTTACAAAGGCCACTTTGTGTTATCAGAGTTTTTTTTCTTATTGGGGTTTAAAGTGCTACCTTTAAAGACTATCCAGGGTAAAGGGAGGGTGGGGACAAGGGGAAAAAATGAGAACCAAGACCTGTCATGTAAAGGTACAAGATCCCAGTAATGAATGTAACTGTACTGTCTACCTAGAATGCACCAATGAATTAAATAAAAAATAAATAAATAAAGACTATCCAGGTGTTCTGTGTTCTCAAATGTAAACTTTTCAAAACATTCTGCCACACATCTATCAATAATATTCTCTGGAGCAAGAGATTTAGTTCAGTGGCACCAGGCCTGCCTGGCAAGCACAAGGTCCTGAGTTCGATCCCTGGTATGGGGGCAGGGGAGACTATCGTAATAATAATCATAGCCCTGTGGGTCTCTCTAGATAATATGATGTTACAATGATCTGTTGTCTTAATTTTATGCCAAGCTCAGTTCTTTGGAGCCTTGGTTACTGTTGTTTTATTGAAGCATTGAAAGTACAGTTATTTATTTTTTCAAAGCTGCTTTGCCCTTTCCATATGAATTTTAGAATGATCTTGTTAATTTCTATAAAAAGCCTGCTAGGATTCTGATCAGAACTACACTGAACCTACAGATCAATTTAGAGAGAATTGATCTTTATTTTTTAATAGTTTTCTGATCCAGGGCAACAGTGAATCACTCCATTATTTTGGTCTTTAATTTTTTTCAGAAATATGTTGTAGATGGACTACCACTTTGCCATAAAGAAGGATGAGTTTCAGACACTTACAGCAAGGCAGGCAGCAGAATGTCATTACTTTTGACAGATTACTGCCTCAGTATTTCTAATTTTGGATGTTATAGCAAACGATAGTATTAAAACTTGGACTTCAGGGCAGTGATGGTATACATCTGTATTCCTAGCCTGCTAGAAAGCTGAGGCAGGAAGATAATAAGTTCTAGTCACTTAGACCCTGTCTCAAAAGGAGTGGGTGGGGTGGGGGTGTATCATAAGGCTCTGGGTTCAATCCTGAGTACAAAACATTTCAATTTGAGCTGAGGGATGTAGCTCAGTGGTAGGATGCTTGCCTAGCATGCATGAGGCTCTGGGATCATTCCCCAGTAATGAAAAACTACAACAACAACAACAACAACAACAACAACAACAACAACAACAAAAAAAATCAGCGTTTTTCTATGTCAGTAATGAGTGACTGAAATTAAAAGTTTTTTTGTGTTTCCTGTACTGGGACTTGTACTGAGCTACATCCCTACTCCTTTATATTTGCAGACAGGGTCTTGCTAAGTGGCCCAGGCTAACCTTGAACTTGTGATCCTCCTGCTTCAGCCTCCTGTATAGTTGAAATTATGAGCAAGCCATCAACACACCCAGCTGTAACTGATTCTTAAATACTGATCTTGTAGCCTGGAATCTTTTACATTTATTTATTTAGTACCTGAGATCTGACTTGGGACCTTGTGCTTGCGAGGCAGGTGGTGGTATCACTGAGCTAAATCCCTGGCCCTTGAAATCTTTTTACTTTTCTCAGTAATATTTTTGTAGATGTTGCAGGATTTTCAATAAAAACGCAAACATGTTGCTGGCGAATAAAGATAAATTTACTTTTTGTTTCCTAATCTGAATTCTATTTACTTTTTTCTTAGCATTAGATAGAACCTTTAGGGCACTGTTAAGTAACAGTGATAAAGGAAATCTGGTTTTTTTACTGATCTAAGGGTTTTCTGAAAATACTTCTCTTTCTAACCATTAAGTTTAATGTGAATTATAGATGTTTCTAAGATGTCCATCAAATTAAAGGAATTTCTTTTTTGTGACAAGTGTGAACACTTTTGTAAAGAAAAATGGATATTGTATTTTAATAAGTTTTCTGTACGTTTACTAAGATGAACGTGTGGTTTATCCTTTGTATTTGTTCCTGTAATTACACTGATTTTCAAATGTTAAAACCAACCTTGCACTTCTCAAAGGAAATCCACTTAGTTATGATGTATTACCCTTATGCACTGTTAGATTTCAGTTGCTAAAATTCTGCTAAGATTTTCATACCTATGTTCATGAAGGGCTTGTGTTCATGAGATGTCTACTTTCTTTTCTTGTTTTGATTTTTCAAATGGGGTCCTGCTGTAGCAGTTCAGGATGGCCTTGAACTTACTACGTAGCTGAGGCTGCCCTCAAACTCAAGGCCATCCTCCTGCCTCAGCCTTCCAAGTGCTGGGATTATAGGTGCACACTACCACACTTGGTTCTGCTTTCTTGTCTTGTAGTATGCTTGGTTTAGGTATGCAGGTAATGCTAGTCTTATAAGAGTTCTCATTCTCAACCTGACAACCTGTGTCTTGTTTTTCTCCCACCAGACTAGCTAAAGGTTTATCAATTTTATGGATATTAAATAAATCAGCTTTAGCTTCACTGTTTTTATTGCCCCCTTTCATTTCATTGACTTCCAGTCTCGCTTATATAATTTGCTTCATTTTACTTATTTTGGATTTAATCTGATCTTCTAGTTTTTAAGAATGCTTAGTTGAAGTCATTCGTTTGAATTTTTTGCTTAGCATGAAATTTCCTCTAAGTTCTGCTAAGTACAGTATTTTACATTGATATTTTGAATTTTTATGTTCATTCGGTTTCATCTACATACTTTCTAAATAGTCTCTTGATTTTAAAATTTACTTTCCAAATATGTTCAGAGACTTTCCTGTTACTGCTTTTCAAGTATGTTCAGATACCTTGCTGTTACTGCTTTCTAATTAATTATACTGTGGTCACCGAATACAGTTTACATTATTTAAATCCTATTATTACTGAGTTTTAAAAATCATCCTAGGCCAGGCGTGGTGGCACACGCCTGTAATCCCAGCACTTGGGAGGCTGAGGCAGGAGGACTGCTGTGAGTTCGAGACTAGCCTGGGCTACATAGTGAGTTCCAGGTCAGTCTCAACTACATAGTGAGACCCTGTCTCAAAAAAAACAAAAAACAAAACAAAAAAAACATCCTAGAATATGATTTTTCTTGGTAAATGTTCCATGTACAGTTAAAAAGAATGTGTAGTCTACTGCAGTTGGGTGCAAAGTTCTATAAATGTCCACTAGGTCAAACTGGCTGACAATTATGTTCAAATCATTCATATCCTTACCAATTTTCTATCTAACCTCTTAACTTTATTTTATTTTATTTTTGGTGCTGAAGATCAAATTCGGTCCTTGAGCTTGTGAGGCAGGCAGCGGAACCACTGAGCCAAATCCCCAACCCCTAACCTCTAATTATGGAGAGAAGTATACTGGAATCTTCAAGTATAACTGCACTTATCCATTTCTCCTTGAAACCTTGGCAGTTTCATGTCATGCATTTTGAAGCTGCTTAGTATTATTGAATCATTTTAATGAATTAATTCTATTATCACAAAATAATCTTCCTAATCTGATATTATTTTTTTAGCTCTAAAATCTAATTTTCTGATATTTAGCCAAGCCCAGCTTTTTTCTGGCATATTTTTTACCCTCCTTTTTACAGTGCTGAAAACTGAACCCAGAAGCATACACATGCTAGGCAAGAATGCTACCACCATGGTACAACCCAGACCTAGGTACCTTTTATTTTAAACCTATTTTGTGGTTTTCTGTAAAATACCATAACTTGCACCCCAGAAGAACCCACGAGAGCATTAGCTACCACTTAGAGCCTGACCCACTCCGGACCCATTCTGCCCACTTCCCATCTCCAGACATTGGCCTATGCTGGCTAGTTATACAAACCGGATCATACAATACATGGCAATACACAGTCTTCTGTGAATAAGCTTTGCTTTTCATTTTTAAAATTTTTTAAATTTTTATCAGTCCACATGTGCAATACACTCATTGTGGGGAGTTGGTACAAGCACATAACACAACTTAATTCTTGTTGCTTCTTCTTCCCCTTTACAGCATGTAACAGCAACTCACTCTACTCGAAGATCACAGGGTCCCTCCCTGTGCTGCAGCCTAGAAATTCTCCAGACTCACCTCATTTGTTTATTTCTATTAGGAGTCACTTCATTGCCCGCGGGCTTGAAAACCGCTGTTGTGTATTTTACCCATTGCATTAGTTCTTTTGTAGGGGGGCAGGGACCTACTCCCTTTGCTCACTGGTTTTCCAATTTGGGTGTTTTAAGATTTCAGGAAGCCTGTGATCATCATTCATTCACTGTACTGGGTTCTTAGTGAACCTTATTCATCTAGAAATCATTTTCGTGAGATCTTGAACATTTTTTCCCGTTACTTCTTTGAATAGTTCTCACTCGTTATCAATAATTTTCTCTCGTATCTTCCACCTATGTATTGTTGATCTCCCTCAGTTATCTTCCCATTGATATCTTTTGTTTTTGTGATCTTAAACATTGATTTCCTAAGAATTATTTCTCACTCTTCTGATTATTATTCTTTCTCTCTGACGTCTTTTCTTATTTCATAGATTCAATTTATCTTCTCTCTTTGAAGATTATACAGTAAATATGTGTGTGCAGACTGGCTTTTCTGGCTTGGTAGTATTCGCCCTATACTGTCTACTTCTTCTAAATTCCTTTTAAAATCTCCTGGTGTCTAAGATTCTCATGTCTAAGGTTTTTTTTTTTGTTTTTTTTTTTCCCATGGTCTGGCAATCCTCTGCTGTCCACTCATACCAAAAGGTATTAAACAACTATCTGAGAGATAAGGTAACATTGTCACTAACGATGGGGGTGGGGTGCAGGATACCAAATGTATTCTTTCTCCAGAGAACTCTGTTTATCCAGAGAAAAATCTTTCAATCT